GGGGGGGGGGGGGGGAGAACGTTAAATTTTCATTTCTCTCCATTTCCCAGTCACCCTATTTTAAGCCATATTAATGCTTAAAACCCCAACAAACACACTGCAATTGCTGAGGTCTACAATATGGCTATGGTTGGGAGTTGGGACTACTTACTACATTTGGCAAGAAAGAAACTGCAACATTTTTCAAGGCAAATAGAAAGCAGAGACGGATGCAGAATTTTGAGACTATAGGTACATCATGGGCTTTTAATTGATGCTTATCATAATGTCAACGCATGAAAGAAAATTTAATGTTTTATACTAACTTAATTATTATTAATTTTGAACACTATCTAAAGAGATAAGCTATACTCTTCTTAAATGATTCAGTTCTTACCGTCAAAATTCAAAACAAAAATGTAAACTTGTACAAATTTTAGTGCAAAAAAAAAGCATAAAAATATCAAAAAGTCTTAAAGCATATGACTAATTCTATATACGAATTAGGGGTGTTCATAGGTCGGGCTGGTTTGGATTTTTTAATTACCAAAACAAACCAATGATGTCGGGTTTTTAAATTTATAAACCAAACCAAACCAATAAAGTCGGATTGAGTTTTTTTCGAGTTTTCGGGTTTTTCCTCGGTAAAGTCTTAATAACACAAAATATGTAACTGTTGCTCCAAATATTTATTTTATTCCTAGTAGGATATAATTATATAATGTATTTTCCAAGAAAATAAAATAATAATATGAGATGAGTCATAACATTGTACTAAAATATTCAAGCTTTCTTGGCTGCGCCAAGTGACAAGTGCGCATGTGCCTCTGTCGCCCCACCGATATCCCTCGCCAGCGCCCAGTCGCAGGCAGATGCCAACAGCGCCGCGCGCGCAGACCATGATGCCAAATACAAGGTTGCTGACAACGGGCCTGTTTCTACCTTGTAGGAAACTAAGTCCTTTTCATTGTAAATATAGAGTAGCTTTATTTCATGTACTTCCATTATGTTTCTGTAGCTTAGTTAGGTCTAGTCTTGTAACTTTGATTTATTTTTTTAAGCACTATTAGGGAGGATCAAGCAATCAAACTTTCTAGCAAGCAAACAATTCTCTGTACTGGAGTCTCTTCCCCTCGACATGGTGTTGCTTTTCTGTAATGACTTTCATTAATGCAATCAAGCTTTCTTTCATTCTCAATTCTTATTTCTGTTCTCTCAATTGCTCTTGATAGTGTTTTTACTGTACGACAATAACAGTCTCGTCTAGCGTACGGAGGGGACCTCAGTTGGCAGATAATAACTGCGCTGACATCAGTTGCTTAGCCTTACGTCGCCCTTTCACGGAATCTCAGGAAGGCGCTGCGTAATACTATATATGTCGCTGTCACTCTCTACATTTATGTATTGCCTTGTCCATTTGGAGAGTTGTAGACTAGTGGGCTAAACTACGGACTGTCAATCTCTACTTCAATTAAAGCAGTTTCGACATTACAAATTGAAGAAACTCCTTGAAGGTGTTCCACTGTATTAAGATGGGATTTGTGGACTTGTTCGTTGGGCATTTGTGCTTGTTCTGAAAACTCTCATAATTACTGCTGTTAGCTTGTTCCTTGCTTTGGAACGTATCAATCTCCTTGGCTCTGTTGCAAGGCACCATTTGAACAATGTAAGTTTTGATCTCATGTTCTTCATTCTCGAAAGAAAGAAAAAAAAAAGTTTATATTCTGTGCACAAATATATAAATTCATTATTCATTCAACCTCACCTCACAATTGTTCGCAAGTTGGTAAGAAGTCAAAAATTGTACAAGAATAAAGAGTGCTCAACCAGGACAACTGGCCTTTAGCTTTCTTTCTTTTTTTCTTGAACGTTTGGAGCAGCTTGTGTTCTGGATTAAAAGATTTTACTAGGTTAATAACTATCGTGCGGGGCTAGTAAAGTAGTCTACTTCACTTGATTAGTTAACTTACCCAATACATTAATCTATCACAAATTAACAAAATCTATTTAAATCAGCACTAAAATGGATACATCGTACTTACAATTAATATTATACAATTTGATGGTACAACATATAAATTTAAAAATAAATTTCGTACAAATTGATATATCTACAACAATATACATACTAAAAATAAATTTCATACAACTAATTATATAGTATACACTTATTTACAACTTATCAACAACTTTCATACATTATTTTTACCCTGTTAAGATACATCTACAACATCATACAACTTAAATACAATCATATAAATTTTATACAATATGTCTTTTTGTATATTGTGTATCTGAGTTGTATATATTTTGTATGTGGTGTGTGTTTCTTCCTCTCTAAAATTTCAATCAAAACTTTCTCTCTTAATACAATTTTGATACATATCAATAACTTTATGTAAAAAGATTGTATTGATAACTTAAATACAAATTTTATACAACGATTCTTACATTATACAACTATTTTTCAACTTTCATACTATATTCAAATATATATATATATATATATAAGTATAATGTAAGAACATACAATATATAAGTATATTGTATGTCATGTGTTCAGCCAAAATCAAGTCTAATCTTCACCAAAACACCCTCAAAATTGAGATATAAACTCCAAACAAATATTCCCAATTGTTTGCAGCAACACCCAATCCAAACAAATAATGATTTTTGAAAACCCAAATTCGCATTCAAAGTTTTTTAATGGCTGTCAATGGTGGAGAGTCGAACACCTTCAACGGAAATCCACCAGACAGAGAGAAGTGCAGATACTAGTAAGGCAGGTGATTCAAGATGTACATTGCAGAGGTTTGATGAAGGCAAAACTAGCAGGCAGATTGGCACAATTGAACTATTATCCATGAGCTAGTTGTAGGTTAGAGTGTTATGGTGAGAACCGGAGCTTTGGGCCATATGTCCAACTCCAGATTGTTTTCTTTTATTTGGGTTTTTGTAATGATTGTACATTCTTCCATGGTAAATATAATTCTTAATTACCAAAAAAATAAATACTTGAGATGCTCAATCATATCATGGTAAGTAAAAGCAATGAAATCCGGAGAGGAATTGCAGATGGACACAGGAGCGCAAATGAACAAACACATGGATGAATTCGGTATGTAGCTTCAGTCAAACCGCTGATCTAGCCACCAAAAGGATTTGAAGAGAACAACAAAAATTTAAATGTCTACGGCATAAACACGAGAAAAGGGGGCAAAATATTTTACTCACTTGACTGTAGGCAAACCTAGGACTTCCACACAGAATTTCTGTGTAATCAGATTCAGAAGGGACAATTTAATGAATGCTATACAAGATACAACATAAAACTGGTAATCTCGCAGCAACAGTGGAGATCCATAGTCTGTTGTGTCATAACAATACACAAGCAAAGCAGTGAATAGAAAATGCGGAAGGTCTTTCATTTTAACAATCATCCCCACTTTACAAGTGAATAGAAAATCTCAAGTTTCTGGAGCACTAGAGATACAACATTGAGATCATAAAAGCCCATGGGAGTAAAACTGAAACCATGAGAAAGAGACAAGCAAAAAGCACTTTTTCTTTTTCTCTCATAAAGAGATAACACTTTTTTTTTATAACCCTCGTGTCGGGGTAGCGTACGCGCAGCTCGACTAATTCCACAAAATACATGCTACCTTCCACCAACATCAAATAACAGGTAACTCTGTCCACCAAGACTTGGACAGATGGGAAGAAATTGTCTAGTGTTTTTGCCACTGCTAGGATTTGAACTTGAGACCTATGATTCTTAACTCACTTCATTGACCACTAGGCCACACACATGGTGCAGACGAGTGGATAACACTTTTTCAATCATTCATAAACAAACAAAATTAACTGAATCACAATGCTCATACAACTAACATAAAATGAAGACATTCAATTAGCAAGCAAGCAATAGATATGAGATGTAAAATGGAAAACTCGAAAAGTCTCAAGATCTGATAACTCCCACGATATCCTTCAGGTTTTGTTTCTACAAGTTCAAAACTTCCAAATGTATCATTCTAATCTATTTTCTGGACTACTATGCCGGAGGGCACAATGTCTAGTGAAAATGCAATGAAAATGTCAATTGAAAAAATGTCCTCTTGCAGGTGAGCGCAATAATATTTGAATTAGAATATCTGGTTGCAGACGGACCTGCAGGGTGGCACATTAGATTTAACTACTTGTGTAGAGGCAGCCCTCAGTCAGTTAAGATGCATTGAAACATCCACATGTCAACATTATGAGGATATGAAGAAGGTCTAGTTGTACATGTTCCTGAAATCTTTGGTGATCAGCTATGTTGCGCGGACTCTCCAAAATGTTGCCGCACTCTTATCGGATCCTCCAAAAATACACTACTTTTGGAGGATCCGACACGCACCCGGCAACATTTTTTTCGCAGAGTCCGAGCAACATATGTGATCAGTAGTGGCACCAAGATATGATCAAAATGGCTACTTTATTTGGAATAACAACTCATAAGAAGTTTACGAAGAGCTTAGTCAACAAGAAGTGACACCAAGATGTGATTAAGATGGCTGCTTTATTTGGAATGTCAAGACATCAGAAGGATAGTTTTAAAAAGAGTAGATGTTAAACGCTTTTTTTAACAGTTAATATCAAATACGTAAAGTATTATTTGCGATTTTGTGGTGTTCTTTTACTTTTCGGCAGGAAGTCATGCCAAGCTCAGCCTTTACATGTTTCATGTTTGTACATATGCAAAAGCTTCTCTTTTCCACAGATTAACCTAATTCAATAGAAAGAAAAAGAAGGGTTTACCTTCTTTTCTGCTGTTTAACTTGTGTATTTGCTGGCAAAATCACTGAAAGATTGTTTTATCACAAAGGCTGGGTAACAGTAGAAACACCTATCTTGCTTTATCCACAAACCAAATAAATAACAAATAATGCACGCGGCGTGTTATGGACATATGTGACTTGGTCTCAAACTCAACTAAGACTACATCAGACTAGCTATTTTCAAGCAAGAAACTCTAAATCTGTAAGATATTTTCTTTAAAAATTAATAAAGAAAAAAAAAAGACGAGAGACTGAAAGCTGAGCTCTCTAAAATGAAAACGGTAATGACGCCATCATTAACAAATAGTCAAGTCTAAAATTATACTAGCATAACACCAAGTCTGTTAACTTTTGTATGTGGACTGCTAAGGTGACGGTAATGATATATGATCAGCTCCGGGATCTTGATTGCTGGTGGCAGAAAATATAAAGAAGTGCTAAAAAATATTCTGTGTTTCTCCAACAAACAATCTTGCATTCCTCTCAAAGTCATTCATCTATCTCTGCCTTCACACAGAGAAAAAGATTATGAAGAGTTTACCTCAATAGTCTAAACTAAGTTAAAACTATTATAGCAAGACACTAAGTAAAATAAGGCACTAGGACGATAATCAAATAGAGCTTTCAGGGCCTACGGGACTAGCATTATAATTGCATTAGTCCACTTGGTACATTTTTAAGAGCCCTCCATTGACTAAGAAATATACCAAAATGAAGAATACACCAAAGAGCCAAGTTTTGTCTGATTTACCGATTTGATAGATAAAACCAATGAAGCCCTATAACCTGGACAATGCCAATTCCCCCGTCAGCAGACAAACATCAAATTGGTTATGTAGCCACAGCTGCTATTAGCCAGACCAACCATATATTCAAATTGAGAGCTGAAAAGAAGAAAAAGAGAAAACTTTCCCCGAGATCAGCATCATACTATAATCAGTTAATCAATCAATCACTTATATCTTAATAGTCAATCACAAACTTAATGGGTTGATTATATGAATCCTCTATAAACATTCAACTATATTCATGTATATCATCAATCAGAAGAAATTATCATGTGCACGTCCATTGCCCAAGCTGAGTAAACAACAAATTACAATGATAATCAAACAATCATCAGTTAAAAACACAATGATATATGAAGCAAAATTTGTGGTATCTTCAATACAATTATCAATTATATGTTTAATCAGGAAATCTCAGTTCCCTTCTCAATTCTTGAAAGAATCACCTAAATTCTTTATTTTTCCATTGTTAAAAAACACCGTATAACAAAAAAAAAAAAAAATTGCTACAAACAAAAATCTTTTGATTGGCCAACCTTACAAGCCTTCCTTTTGGTCAAAACTATTTGAACCCTCTACGGATCCAGTCTCCATTGAAACTGATTCCTTGTTATCAGTTAGCTCCTTCTCGCGTTCCTTAATAACCTTTGCCTCTATATCTTTCTCTACCTGTAAAATTGGGGCGTAATAATCCGAATGCGCCTCCATACATTTCTGTAAAGCAGAAGTGACTTCAAAACACTTTTCAGCAATGTCTTCTTTGTTCTTTTCACCTTCTTCAACGCATTTTTCCCATTCAGTAAAAGGGTCTTTGCACCCACCCGCTTTCATATACAAACAGAACCCACATTCTCCTTCTTCTTCATCCTCATCTTTTTTTTCTTCTTTTTCCTCCAAAAGGGTGTCTTTTTGTGGAATTTGTTCTTGGGTTTCTAGATTGTTCTCGGTTTTCAGGGTTTTTATTTGAGGGACGGTGTTGGATTGGGGATTTGGTTCGTGGGTTTGTGGGGATTCTGAAGAAGAAGAAGAAGACGACATAGTGGGGGTGGGGGCAGTGGTGGAATTGGTAGAGCTAGGGTTTGTGACTCTTAAACCCCCCTTAAAACCCTCTTTCTCAAAGAATTAAAAAAAAAAAAAAACAGCTTCTGTTATGAAATACATATTTATATGGATGTCCACTAATCAAATATAACTCCCACTACTCTTCTCCATTATATAGATAACCCCCACTTCTTCTTACCATTATAGATGTAACTCCCACACCTCCATGATCTTTCCCATATTCTCAATAGTTAATACCATGTTTATAGAGTCCCTCTGTATTACCTATATCATCTTATAAATAGAGGGTTTGGGCATCACATTGTACACACTTGAATACATGAAGAAATAAGATTCTCCCCTCTCTTTCTCTCTACATTGTTGTCTATCTTCTTGTTTTATGTTATTACTTTGAGCTAAGTTTCGTAACACGTTATCAGCACGAAGCTTTAATCAACCTAGAAGATATGAATGGTCGACAACCTTGAACCAATTTGGTTGAACCAATGGAAATATCGGCATTATTACGTATGCCATATTAATGTTTAGTTCGCCTCTATTGTCCAGGGAGTATTATTTTTTAAATTATACCATAAATTGTGTATTTAGCTTATGTTAAAATTTAAGATTTGTAGTTGCTTTGTTTAGAAAAAACTAAGCTTTGATTTTAAGTTTTCATGCTCGTATGGCTGTATATGTCCACTACCTTTGTTCCTAGTTCTAAAATTGATCTTATACAATTATAACATCATGCTATCATTGATTTTCTATGATATTAAAAGATCTTTGTGAAACATTAAAAAGCATTCTGGTCATGTTATGTATTAACGAGGAAGTTTAAGATCGATGGCCTAATCTAATTAGATGCAACATTTTTATGCTGATAATTGACAAAGTGATATCATTATGTTTTACTAGCCTATTTTGGCATCATCTATATTAAAACAGAATATGCTAGCAATAGTTATTACTTAAGATTATTTGTTTTTTTAAGTTAAGTATATTTAGTTATGTGTTTCAATTCTTGTGTGCATTTTATTTAATCGTCATGCATTAGTTTGCAGTAATACATCACATAGTAATAACGCTACATGGTGACTCTCTTATTGACATGTTTATATGTAGGATACTAGTACACGAGTTTGTACTCTATCATATTTTTATTGATAATAGTTCTTATCATTTCTATTTTGCTTATTTTTATGATAGATTTTACTCTGTGGCTACATAAAATTATATTCCATTCCTGATGTGAATCAGACCATTTGTGATAAACATTATATAAGGATAAGACGGTGGGTTCAAGTCCCAACGCACCATGAGGGTAAGACATCGGGTTTTGAATCCTGATGATCCATGATTGTAAAAGTTGGGTTCGAGTCCCAACTCATTATGGCCTAACATGTCTTTATATGGGTCAGGCATTGGGTTTGAGTTCCAATGCACCATATGGATGACATAGTGATGACTAAAGAAAAATAATATATTTTTCATGAAAAGGCATGAAGTTGTCCCACTTGATTTGCTCCATTCTTGAAGTGAATGTGATAGCAGTGCATAATAAGTCTAAATGAAGACAAGTGGTTGACCAATGAACGTGGGCGTGCCAAAGATCAAATAATAACAGTCATCATTATGGTAATTATAAAAAGGAGAACAATAAGGGTTCTCGAAGTAATCCTTCAATAGGTGAAGGAAATATTTACCATCAAATTGGTATGAAAAATTTATAAAGCACGTCATGATAATTATACTCCATTCTTTGAAGAGAGTGTGACTTGTGCATTGAGAATGCAGATTCATTCATTAAGGTGAATGTAACAATATGTGATAAAAGTAATGAATAAAGACGTGTAATGCATGATTTGATACATACCACAACTCACCTCTAAGGGAGGTTTGAGAGAAAGAGAGATAATGAATATTGTTGTGTGATTACATGAATATGTCATTGGTCGCGTACATGTGGTACGCCAAAAATAATTTGATATGCCTTATAAAAAGTTATTAAAGGTAAAAGTAAAGCAAGAAATAATTTTGCTTATGATGATTTTGACCATGACAATTATTATGATATGATTTTCTCCGTGAAGGAGACATTCACCATATGGATGGTGTGACAAAAGATCTTGTAGTACAAAATCAATTACGAGCTCCGGAAGAGCTAATTTGTTACTACCCGATGAATAAAATTGTTCATGACATTGATATTGTAGTAAGTCTCAAAAGAAACTTTTTGAGTTTCAAATG